ATTATCCTAAAACATATATAATGCTCCCCAAAATATTAGACATGTTAAGTAGCTTTTTGCAATTATTTTTAAGACATGAGCTTTTAGCAGAATGTTGTTGTTGTGTATAAATAATAATAATAATACATTTAGCTTAGTGATAGCTGGCATAATTGTTTGCTAGTGATAAAAGTTGATTAGTATAGGATTTATTTCCAGAGAGGAATGTGTCTGGGCAGTAGGTTTGGAGAAATACATTTAAGTATATGCAACAGGGAAAACTTTGCTTTTATGCTTACTTCCTGGTGCGTCTTCTTGTTTTCACAAATACACTGTTCTTGCAATATTGTCATGCAAACATAAATTATAACAATTCTCAAATGTTGCTTCTTGGATTTCTTAGATTACCTGTCTGATTCCTAATTGCTAAATTAAAATCTTTGATCAGGGAACATCAACTGTATGACATGCCATCTGCTTCTTGCATTATATAAGGTACTCTGTATTACTGTGTCTATGACATGGCAGGTGCCCACTGCCTGACTGAGTTAATATGACAGACTGTATTGCTTCAACAATCATAAAATCTGGGATTCAATCTTTGCACTGTCACTACATAATGGGTGCAATCCTGTGGCTTCATTTCTTGCTGTTACTGAACAAAAAAAACAGATATTTGGGGAAGACTGAGTAAGTCAGCCTATGATGCAATGCTTCTCACAAAAAGTTATGATATATGCAATGATTTAAGATCAGTGTGTGAATGGGTAGGTGCTTTGAGTAGACTAGAAAAGTGCAATACAAGCTCAAGTCACCCATTTACCATATCTCTTATAATCTATCATCTTTTTCACTCTTTCTCTGCTCCTCAGAATCCGCCTGCACCACCTCACCGTTTGTGCTCCTCTTGTGCAGCTCCTCCTTGCCATTCTTGCTGCTACTGTTTGCTGGTCTTCGGGCTGAGGAGTTCTTACTCGTGTTCAGCTTCCCAGAGCCCTTGCTTGACACTGAACCATCCTCGTCACTTGGCAACCGTCTGTTGTATCCATGGCAACAATACCCAGAGGCAAGAGAGGGAAGGAAATGATTTGTTAGTCTATTTTATACACATGACATATATATATATATATATATATATATACACACTGTATAAATTGTGTAAGTCCTATGGTCCACATGTTGGAAAAAGCCTTGATGCTGGTTGTTTTTACACAACTTCTAGTCGTATAAACATCTAGATTAAGGTTTTTGTTTTTTTTCCTTTTCTGTATTTTATTTCAGCAATTTCTTAGTGATGTTTTTGTAAAAAGATGTTTGATCCACCTTAATGGCAATATATTTAAATATCTTGACAGGTAAGCCATAATGTATTAAAACACTCTATGTAAATCTCAAAGGATCCTCATACATATTTTTAACTATCACAACTAGAAACTTAACCGTAGCTCAGACACACTTAAAGATACATTCAGACCCAGCTCACTGGACTAAATGTATTCAATAAAAAGAAGTACAATAAAATCCTGACAGTTATTTTGGACATTATGAAGAAACATCTCCATGACATCTTAAGTGGGTGAGGATGGTTAAATTGCCCTGCAGATCTACAGTATCATGAATCCTTAAAATTGTGTGTTTGCATCTACAGTCTCTGATGTTAAACATTTCGTAAAACATATTTAAAATCTCAAGAACACGCTGTTTATTTTCATCTGGCCTTGGCTTTCTTTAACATTTATATATTATTAAATGTAACATGTATATATTATTAAATGTAGCATTTATATTTTTAAATGTAACATTTATATTTTTATAAATGTAATTTTATATTTTTATAAATGTAACATTTATATTTTTAAATGTAAAATTTATATTTTTAAATGTAACATTCAAACATAAACATACTTCTTGTATGTGTAAACCTACTTGGCAATAAACCTAATTCTGATTCATCAGTGAAAAATAGACAAATGCACTGGTACACTCTTCATGTAGCAGATTGAGCCCTCTAAGATTAACTTTAGAGAAGTTAAGCTGAATAACCATGAGAAACAGCCTCTGTGTATTGGCCTAACTGCTAATAAAATAGACATTTCTAAAAGCCTTCAAATTGGCTTCATCCAAATTTGCATGCAAACAAGTAAATTCTTATGTTTACTGACTCTGAACAGCTTCTAGTTTACACTTGACTTATGTTCAGATCATGTCAGTTGTAGAGTCTGCACTGCTTACTGTTTGGTTTACTCTGGCTCAACATAGCGATGTACAAATAAACACTGATGTCTTTACCTTTCAATAAGCTCAGAGTTTAATCGCTGGATAGTTGAAACAGCTGCTCAAGAACTATGTGATTCCCATGTACAAGTATTCAACTCCGACTCAGCCTGCCGATCTTACAAGGTTTTTGTTAGTCTCTCAGTCCTGTCGTGCTTTTGCTACTTGTTGGCATGTGGATGTGTGTGTGTTTGACTTGTGCCTGCTCAGCTTAGTGGGGCCTGTCAGAGGTTCACACTGTCTCTCAGTCTCAACCGCCTCAGCCTTACAGTAAATATCACACACATCTTTGACTACTGCAGTTGAATAAAATAAATGTCCACTCCATTGTGTGTGTGGCTTTCTCTTTGTAAAATACCTGAGCCAGGTGATGACACAGTATGTCCAGTGAGCTTATTATTTTAACACAATAACAGGATATAAGGAGGATTTGAGTGGCCAGACTAGTTTACGATTTACATCCGTGACAACAAAATAATACTGATGGTTTGTTAAACATCCATGAAAAAACTGTAAACCCCAAATGTTCTGCAAGCTCACTGGCTGTTCTTCTGGAAAATGTTTTTAATTGAGTCACAGGTTATTCTTACAAAATGCAAGTTGGTATTGTTCATCGCTTCCTACCCAAAATCAGGTGAACACGTTTTGGTTTCAAGCTGTTTAAAAAAAAATAAATCAATGAATGTTTATTCTAATTCACTGCCACATTTTTTGTTATTTTTAAACAAATAAAGGATTAAACCTGTATGTTTAAGGTGATATTACTTAAGGTATTGAGTGTTTATAAGTCATATCTAAGATTTGTTTATATCAGTTTGATAGTCAGATGTTTACATAACTGCTTTATGAAGGCAAAACACAAAAATAAGAATGTTTTCTTGTAAACCCCCAAAACAAAGAAATCAAAGTTTTCTAAAACGTCTTACCCTCCTTTTTGTATGTCAGCAGATGGAGGCCTTTTGCTGGCGGTCCCATCCTGGTGGACCTTCTTATCCAAAGATAATGAGAGTGGAGCATCTCGTACCGGCAGGCCGAGCACCAGAGTGTCCTTGGTAACAGAGATGGTATCATCACCTGTTCGACACATGTGCTTCTTGGCGTAGTCAAAGCCCTGGACCGGCTGCCAAAGAAAACAAGAAGACACACCAGGGCTCATAAAGCTGTTGATTTCAACAAGGACACAGCTATTGCAGGTTGTAAACACACTTATGTCTAATTGGCTAAAAAGGTGCCTCAGATATTATTTTTCTCAAACCAAGTGACAAAAGTGTAATCTGTTGTTCCTAAAGACTGTGTCATTTCCCGTTAGCCTGTTGGATTGAGGTACTCAAAAAAACAATATGAATCCGTTTTAGAGGTACTAAACACAGGATGCATGTTTTTCTACACATCACAGTCTGTAGTTAAGTGAAACACTATAGTTCAGTGTGACTCATAACCAACAATAACGATCAAAAAATACTTTAATAAAGTGTGGGCAATAAGCGTCTCAAAATGGAAGGAAATCTTAAAATGAATTTGAGCCTCATAACACAGGACAGCAGACAGATGCACAGTCTGAATGATAGATCCCAAAACATTTTAAAAAATAATCTTTTTTACATTTGCTCCAAAGAAAATGTTGGCTATAAGGAGCCAGAGGGGCACAGTCAACTAAAGATCTCAGGGGGGCATGAGACTTTGTCTGCTCTGTGGTTGATGTGCACATATTTACTAAAATCGTGGTAAAACATTATTTTTTATTCCATTATCAATACAAATGGTTAAAACGTATGTATGGTGTTATTGTTCAAACAGGATGATGTCATCCGGAGGGCTACTGCTAAGCTGCTGCAGCAAACACTCTCTGGCATTAGAGGTATTTTTTCTTAAAAGCAGTAGAACAATTAATGTTTGATATTCTTACATCATTCATTTCATTCTTATGAAGTTCAGAGAAAAATAAAACATATGGATGAATACGGGAAGTTTTATGTATTAAAATGTTGAATTATTTGCATTTCCATGACCTAGACATTGTAGTGAAGGTGTTCCTGGTATTTTGTCAAACTGTCTATCCAATTATCAATGTTAGAGTTTATGGTTGCAGAGAACTACTCTCAGCTCACAGTTAAAATAGGTGAGCTTTTATTATGTTGTGTTTTTGCAACACATCATCAGCATGAGCCCTGCCTGAGATGCTCAGCACACACAGGATGTGAGGACCTGAAACCCTCACCAACTTTTCAGATGTTATTGATCTTATTAAGCACCACTGTTACTGTAAGACTGAAAGTCCATGTGATTTAAGTCTATTTTCAATCTTTTCTGATCAACAGCAGTATTATAAAAAGTGTTGCATTTAGAACAGCTGATCAGATTTCAGAGAGTGTGTCCCCTGAATATGTTTTAAATTCAGATAATGGTGATTAGTTAGATGAAAATAGTGCTTTACAGTCAAGGGTTTTGGTTTTAAGCATTCAATACTCGACTGTTTTGTATAACTAAATTCAATCTGCAGAAATGATAAGTAGTGAAAGAAATGGAGAAAAAAATGCTTTACGTAACACAAAAAAGTGATGAAACCCTGAATTCTATTTTGAGCGGCTCTAAAATAGGCCGCCTAATGTATTTGTTGATGCATGCTAAACTCTGAGTGCATGTGAGGTTATGCAGTGTGGGCATTCAGCTGACGGCCTTGTTAATAATTCATTCATTTAGTCCTACACACAGCTGGGCCATCATCTAGCTCCATCACACGTGGATGAGGCTGTGACTGAGTGTTATGAAATTGATACATAAAGAACACATGCACAGGGAGAGGTTCTTTTACCACGGCACAAATATATGGATTTAAATATGCACAGAGATGTTTCTAGAGTGCAAGATTTGCCTTCCGCCTCATGCTGTTCACAATGTTAAGGGGGAGTTTTACTGAGGTGTGTGTGTGTGTGTGTGTGTGTGTGTGTGTGAGTGTGTGTGTGTGTGTGTGTGTGTGAGAGAGAGAGAGAGAGAGAGAGAGAGAGAGAGAGAGAGAAAGACACAGAGATAGAGAGAGAGATAGAGGAGAGAGAGAGGAGAGAGAGAGAGAGAGAGAGAGAGAGAGAGAGAAGAGAGAGAGAGAGAGAGAGAGAGAGATAGAGAGAGAGAGAGGGAGAGAGAGAGAGAGAGAGAGAGAGAGAGAGAGAGAGAGAGAGAGAGAGAGAGAGGAGAGAGAGAGAGAGAGAGAGAGAGAGAGAGATAGAGAGAGAAGAGAGAGAGAGAGAGAGAGAGAGAGAGAGAGAGAGAGAGAGAGAGAGAGCGAGAGAGAGATAGAGAGAGAAAGGGAGGGAGAGAGAGAGTGTGTGTGCATGTGTTGACAATAGCTAACAAGGGGCAAAAGGGCACAAGCAGTTTAAAACACAGAATTCCATCAATATCCATTATGTCTATTATTGAGAAGCAAACATTAGATGTGCTATCTGGGCTGTTAACCTGAGAAAGACAACCCAACACCCACTGCACATTGACAGTAAAAGATGTGTCATCCAGTGGCTTGTGGGTAATGGATGTCATGCATAAAGATTGTATGGATTTTTTCCTGAATGGCTCCCAAAGGCTTTAACCTTGAACAATTTGACTGACAGTTAACATACTTTATTTGACTTTTCTTTTGCCACTTTGATATTTTTCCATTTCCATATTTCTTATTCTCTTTTGGAATCCTTCTTCTCCAACTGTCCAGTGACCACATCTTGACTTAACAAATGGACATTTTTTATTTTGTGCAAGCAGCTCAATTTAATGAAGACTTTGGTTGCAGTCAGACGTTTGGTATAGAACAAAGCTGTGAGCAGTCTATCACAGATGGATACACATCCATTTAAGTCAGTGATAAACAGAAAGAGATAGACAGTCATACTGAAAGATTCCACCACTTTCTTAAAAATGTCATTTGGAGGGACTGCAAGCACATAATTGCTTTATACTTAAATTATCCACACTTATTTTTTCCTTGCCTGCACTTTCAGGCAGAAGCTTCTCCTCTTGTGTGATTGTCTTGTCTGAGTCCAGAGTAACAGCCAACAGCTGCTTATGAGGTAAAGCAGATGGATGAGAAATTATGTGGCCGTATTGATTAAAATTCAGCTTTTGCAGCGTGAATGGCAGAAGTGCGCCACAGAGCTGATCCAAAAAACATTCCAAAGAGTGGGCACATTAGAGGAAACATATTAAGACATTGCATTACACAGTAGACATTGGTGCAAAGCCATATAATGCTGCATCATGTTCTCCTGGGTTTTAGGCAGGATGCAGCAAAAACTGAAAAAAACCCTTGAGTCCTTAAAATAACCTTTTACTACCACCTAACACCTACAGATAAACATTTAGTTTTTTCTTCTCTTGCTGATTCCACCTCTATTTTCCTTAACATTGAATGCAGCTATCTAAAGCTTTCATGCCTATACAAGACGGCCAACAAAGAATAAAGACAGCTGCATAGCAGACTTGCAGCATTAAGACTCTGCAGCATCATTCTGTTATTCTTCAAAACACATGCAGACCTTTTATTCACCAAAATACTAATCACCAGCTTTAGCTTGTCCTGAAAGGTGACTGATAGCAGATCACATCACAAACACACACACACTAGATGTACATGCTTGAGACTCTCGTTCACACAAATCATTCAACAGTAGAAACACTTCTACTAAGTGTTTCCCCACTTCTCATTGACACCCCTCTTATTATTTCCATATCTTATGAGAATGGTGGAATGACTCAAGCACAATTATATTAAGCCACAGCAACAGGCAGCACAAATATGCAGCCAGAAAGAGAGCTGTACACAAAGTTATCAACACAGTAAGTCAGTCAAAAGCAGCACACAAAGCAGAATCTACAAATGTCCACCCATCAAGTGTCTTAAGTGAATACCTGGTGGTGGTAACTGCCCTCCCTTCGATATGAGGTCTAAACAGGGAGAGAGTCAAAGCAGGGAGTGATTAAGAAACAGAACATAGATCTGAACTGAGCTGAGACCAGAACTAAAATCTGGAATGAATTACATAAGGCCTACTTAAAAGAAGTACAAGTATGCAATAAATAGCAAGACAATCAGAGAAGGTTTTAAAGAATAAGGCTGAACATTTTTATTGTTGAATTGATCAAAAAGAAATAACTTCAAGTCTGTATTTTTACCAACAAAACATGATGATAAAACACACTTTATATGAGTTACCTGAATCTTAAAAGAAAGTATGTACTTACATTTACATAAACATGAATAAACGTACATGCACTCACATATAGGTTTTGTTTTATACTGTGTGTACATGCATACAGCATACAATGAAAGAATTGGACATTAAGGCTAAAACCACACACAGTAAGGAAACACATTTGTTTTATGTTAATATGAACAATTACACCTGCAGATTGATTTTGCCTTCAGTTGTTAAATGAAAACAGTCCCATAGATTGATCCTGATATGTTCTGTTACTGCTCTTAAAACTGATTATTTGTGCACTGTATGCTCTCTTTTGTCTATCTCTGGTCTTTGATGCTCTAAACTATGAAGGTTCATCTTTGGATTGGAAATTTACATTATTCAAGTACTCTCATTTCCTTATGTATGATTACTCTCTTATTATATATTTGTTTACTGTTAAAAAAGTGTGCTGCTCATCAGTACAGGGCCAGCCAATGCTGTGATGTGAGACTGCTTGTTATCTGTCTCCACTGGTTTCTCCTTGTTCTTCAAGGGCATGTGGTGAAGCATCCAACTAGTATTTCTATGATATTCAAGTTGAATTCCATGTTGCATGGCACATTATTGTTGTCTTTTGTCAAAGGACTTCCAGACATGACTTTTCCTGGTCAAGGCTCTGGTGCAGACAGTTCTGTGGAGTTATAATTACCTTGAGAGTTACTATGGCAACTGGTAATCTAGTGCGTGTATGTTGAATAAAGCTCAAGCCGTGGCTGGAGAATCTATATTAAAAAGGAAATAATCTTTTGAAAAGGGAAAGGGATGATAAAAATGTAAATTCTGGTTTCATGGTTTTTTCTTTGGGGGGGGGGATTAAAAAAAACTAGAGAATCTAGAAAAAGACCAAGTACTTTCAGTTTTCTGTTGTATGTTTCATCACTAGAAGTACTGATTAACACAAGTTTTATAAACTATCTGTGTACCGTTTATCATTTTCACTGTATATTCAGTTCAGCAAACCCATAAAGCTGAGTTATACATATTCTGCTAACTGAGATGAATTATTTGAACCTGAAACAATGAATATACTAGTGTGTGAAGGCTGATTTAAAGTTTGTTTACACACTCTACATAAACATGTCATTAAAACCCTTACTAGGTTATTGATAGAATATTGCTGAAGGTCAAAGCTGTTATGTCTTCTATGAGAGAAGGTAATACTTATTGGTTGTATATAGTATAAAGGACCTATAGACAGGTTATTTAAGTGTATGAGCAGCCATTGAAATTAATTCTCAGTGGAGGGAAAGAATATTTTTGCACAAACCTGAGTTATGACATTTGCTTTTTGAGGACAAATTAGGCTTACCGTGTGAAGCAATTTTACACATTTGAAATGACTAGTTTTTAGGGTTTTACCTCTATCAATTGATGTTAGAATGGACACCACTGCTGTGCAAGGGCCAAAGGGTTAACTGGCAGTACACCTTGCCCCGTTCATTTCTTCACAGCTAATTAGTCCAGCTGCATGCATGATTAGCAATAACCTTGGGTCTTCGGCTGCAAGAATACTAATAGGTTAGGCCTATGCAAATGGGATTACATCTTTCTGTATAATGCTTTTAAGGAAGCAAAACAATTGCAAATGTGTAAATAAATCCATAAATGGGTAATTAGATCCATACATTTGTACACAGATCTGTGTATATACAGAGATCCACAATGAGAATCATAGCAGCCAGTGTCAGAATCAGAATCAACTTAACTGCCAGGTATGCTCAAACATATAAACATATACAGAATTTGACGTTGGCAGACTGTACTGTTTGAAATATTAAACTATAAATAAACTCAAAGTGATGGAGAACAGTCTGGATGATGGAGGTATAAAACATGATCACAAGCTCCTGTGGCAAGAAGTACATCCTCTGCTGGGCCTTATTCCTCATAGTGTCTATGTGGGAGGTCCACTTCAGGTCCAGGGACATTGTGGAACCCAGGAACCTGAAAGAGTCCACAGTAGACACTGTGCTGTTAAGAATGGTGAGGGGGGCTTCTCCTGAAGTCCACTGTCATCTCCACAGTCTTGAGAGGGTTCAGCTCCAGATGGTTCTGACTGCACCAGAGAGCCAGCTGGTCCACCTCCCGTCTGTAAGCAGACTCGTCCCCGTCCTGGATGAGACCGATGACGGTGGTGTGGTCTGCAGACTTCAGGAGTTTCACAGAAGGTTCTTCTGAGGTGCAGTCATTTGTGTAAAGGGAGAACAGCAGTAGAGAGAGAACACACCCACCGAGGCAAACTGCAGGGGGTCACACAGGGGTCCTGTAATGTCCTTCAGTTGGCTCAACACCAGTCTCTCAAAGGTCTTCATGACCACAGACAGACTTCAGGGCGATGAGCCGATTGTCTTTTTAGAAACCAGGATGATGGTCAAGCTTTTGAAGCAGGAGGGCACTTCATACATCTCCAGAAGATGTGTCTACTCAGCCCAGACTCTCAGGCAGGAGGGGGACACCATCTGGTCCTGGAGCCTACAGATTTTCTGGAAGGCCTCAGCAATGTCTTCTGTGAAAACTGCAGTAGACGCTGTACTGGTCTTTGGCCAGTCTATTGTTACAAGCAGGGTGGGGTCTCCTGTAGTTGAAGAAGTCCTGCAGGCCTCTCCAAGTCGATGTAGGGTGTTTAGTCAAGAAGCTGTGTTTTAGCTTCTCAGTGTAGCTCCTCTGTCAGCTTGTTTATGGCCTGCTTGTACAGGTCCCAGTCCCCACTCCTGTAGGCCTCCTCCTTGGCGTGACATAGTTGCCTCAGTTTTTCAGTGAATCAGGGTTTGTTGTTGTTGTATGTGCAGAAGGTCCTGGCATGCACACACACAGGTCCTCACAAAAGCTGATGTAAGATGTCACAGTGTCAGTGAGTTCATTCAGGTTTGTGGCTGCAGCTTCAAAAACGCTCTACTCAGGGCAAAACAGGCATGTAGCTCCTGCTTTGACTCTCTGTACATTTCAGGCTTTACAGATTTAACCTTCAACCTGTAGGTCGGGATGAGATCAATCAGGCAGTGATCAGAGAAATCCCAAAGCTGTACGGGGAACAGAGTGAGTCTAGACATGACTTGGAGAAGCATACTTTCCAGGAGGATGGACTTTAATGGTGTCATGTCTCGTCTTCCCAGAAAGACCAACAAATAACTGCACCTCACTCAAAACCCTGCTGCCAGAGTTCTTAAAAGGAACCAAGACAATTTTGCATATTACCCCCTTTCTTTTATTTATACTGGCGCCCAGTGACATACTAAAGTCAGAGTTTTAATGAACTCATGCTAAGTTATGAATTCAAAATCAATCTCCGTCCAAAATACAACAATCATGTTTTTGAAAATGTAAACCAAGCTGGACACCTTTATCTTTAGGAACCAATTACCTTGTAGTTCCACAGGTGAAACACAAACAGGACCAAGCTGCTCTTTACAGAAGAGCATCAATGAAGTCACCATATAACAATCTATACTGGATCCCTTATCTGGTAATTACAGATAAGAGCTCATAATTACTTATTATTAATTCTGTCTAAATTGATTATTACTTTTTTGTATTGCTGTCTTGTCTATTTCATGTTGCTTAATCTAAAATAAAAACAATAACTTATTAATTTTTTTTTTTTTAATTCATAATAATTCAAAAAGCTGACATAACTGGTAATACATTGTGAAAAAAGTTTTTATGCTTAATGCAACTTAGTAAAGGCAAGTAAGTTTAAATAAATTCATGTTTTTACATTCTACCAATTAGAAGAAACTTTTCTCTTTTACTTTATTACTACAAAAGAATGTCTTTTTTAAAAACTTATGTAATAACATTTATCACTAGAATCTTAAACAAAACATTACAGGAGAAGAAATTAAAAGGAACTAATATGGGGTATACCAACGCAGAAGAATGGGACAGAACTAAACTATTTTTGACAGTCTTACCTTGGAGCGAGTTTTGAAGGTCCTGAAAGCGCCTGTTTTGAAGATCACCCTGTTTCTCTTGCATAAAATGAAGGCCACCATGCCGATCACCACCAGCAATAAGAAGAGGGGTGTCAGAACAGCCATGATCCACAGGTTGCCTGGGGGAATCTTTACCACAGCTGTAAATATACAAATATTTTTTATCTGTATTAGATAATGCATGAAGTCATACCTGGATAGTTAAGCAACTGTTTGTAGCCTAAGTGTCTATTGATTGACATAGCAGTTGGTGGGCTCAAATGCATCAGCCATGTGCCACCAAGCTTTTTTGATGGATGGAAATCCAGGTTGACGGCACACACACACACATAAACACACACACACATACACACATATACTGTTTATAATCCCTTGAGAATAGTTGTCATTAACCTGTGCACCATAGACTCTGAATGGACTTTTGAAGTAAGGTTGTCATTTTTTTTTGCTTAAATAAGAAATCAAGATACTGTGCTCTAGTTTATTCGTATTGTAATATAAGAACAGCAATCAACAAAATCGATATCACTCATTACGTGGATCTTAATTCATCTCTAAAAAAGAGAAAATGAATTGTGTGAAGTAACCTGAGAAACTGAAAACTGAAATGTGACTGTGATTCCTTTACTTAAGTATAAAGTCATGCATGTCCCTATGTCCTCCTTCATATGTTTATTATATGCACAGAAAAGTTCACATTTTCACTACTTTCTTTCTTGTCTTTACACACTTTCACATCAATCATTATCCTCAGTTTTGCTCAGTTGGAGAAATTGAAAAAAAGCTACTTTTAAAAGTTGTGTCAAAGTATTTATCATGGACACCGTTCAAAACCATTCATTTAAATAAAGATGCATCTTGTGCATGACTTGCTCTGTCCTTTACACATTCTATTGTTAAAAAAAACACACAACACTATACATTAAGTTATGAAACCTACGTTCAGCCTGCACTTGTACAAAGTATCCCAGCGTCAGAGCCATGGTCTGGGAGTCGAGACTGCTCAGGGTCTTGGCAGCAGTGGATCCAGTCACTGGTACTCCGTGTAGCTGGACATAGTATGTCATCTCAGCTGGGTTCTTAGGACCGGGCATTCTACGCATGCTCACCATCTGGAAAAGTCAAAAAGTATGTAATATCTAAAATCAGATTTAATACAAAAACCTTTGTCACTCTACAGCAGTGGTTCCCAAACTGGGGGCAGGTCCCCCTGGGGTGGGTGCCAAAGGTCTGCCTGCTCTGAAGCTGTCAAAATGAGATTCACACATATTAACTAAAAAATGACTTACATACTATACTTACTGTATAGTTTATTCAAATGTCTGCCAGGAGAATGTGTAAAAAATACTTTATTCCTACTCAAAGATATCCGGCTACTTAGTCAGCCACATCTCTTACAAACATTTTACATTTATTTATATACTATTTTACATTTTGACAGCAGTGCTGATAAAAAAATATATATAATTGCAACTTGTAGGAATACAAGATAAAGATATTGCAAACCATTCATAGTCTACTGCTATGTGTCCGAATATTGGCATATTAAATAATGTAAAACCTTTTTTTTTGTTTTTTTTAAAGATTTATTTGGGGCTTTTTGTGCCTTTATTGTAGAGATAGGACAGTGGATAGAGTAGGAAATCAGGGAGAAAGAGAGTAGGGAATGACATGCGGGAAAGGAGTCACAGGTGGGATTCGAACCCGGGGCCGCCCGCTTGGAAGACTACAGCTTCCATATATGCCTTAGCTCAAAGTATTTAGCTCAAAGTATTTAGCTCAAAGTGTTTAGCTCAAAGCGTTTAGCTCAAAGTGTTTAGCTCAAAGCGTTTAGCTCAAAGCGTTTAGCTCAAAGTGTTTAGCTCAAAGTGTTTAGCTCAAAGTGTTTAGCTCAAAGTGTTTAGCTCAAAGCATTTAGCTCAAAGCATTTAACTCAAAGCATTTAACTCAAAGTATTTAGCTCAAAGTGTTTAGCTCAAAGTATTTAGCTCAAAGTATTTAGAACATGGCCGTTCATCATTTGGTGAAACTTTAATGAAGTTAGCAAAGATGTCACTTGGAAATTTGCATGTGGTACTTTCAAAGCACAAAACAAAATACTACCACTAACACTACTAGTAATACACACAATGAACCACAAAAGTCCCTGTCCCATCTACCTGTACGGTGTAACCCCCTACTGTAGTGGCTCGCCGAGATCGTGCCGTCTGAGAGCCTTGCCTGCCAGCCACCAGGAAGAGCTCAGCCAGCCGCTGCTCCATCAGGCTGGCAAAACTCTGATAGTTGACCTCTAACGAGGAGCTGTCTACATCCTGGATCACTGTGAGGATACAAAATAGAAGACTTAGGATAATCATAGCACATAAAAAGGTATCAAGGCAGACAAGGGGGCTAAAGACTAGCTCCTTTAGTAAAGATTGGGGTAGTGTAAGTACATGTGGTTTATAGGAAGTGAGTAGTGTAGAGAAGTTTGGATACAAATATTTGTTGAAATGTCTACAGGGAAATCTCTAAAGGGTTGAAGGTAAAAAGGCAGGAGGAAGGGAAAGAGAAACAATAAACAGAATCAGATCTAGAGAATCATTTAAAAGCTGCCCATCCAGAAACATTGATACAATACACTTTGCAATTCTACTCCACCTCAAGCACACACTGACAAAAATAAACTCAAGAACTTATATGCAAACAGTTACACATGTGTGATGCAGACACATCTCTTCCTTTTCTCTTGTTATAAAAGCTGTTAATTACACATCAACAGGTTTTCAAAGGATCACTTTCACACTCTAAGCACAGACAGGGTAAGGAGCAAGGGCTAGCAGGGGGTGTGAAGACTTTTCTTTGATAAATCAAATTATTACTCATCACCGAGTAGCACTTTCACCTGTTTGTGTTTGTGGGTGTGTTTATGTTAAAAAAACGAGTTACCTGTTTTTACCCAATAGTTCTTGGTAGCCATCGATGTGTTAAGTTGATGGTATTCAAGGGCTGAGGAAAGGAAGACAGATTAAGATAAAGTTGCAATTATTTGTAATGTCAACACCAAGACTTTGAATACACCATTATATTGGAAAACAAGACAGCTTTTAGATTTCATTTCTCAAATCCACATACTTCAAAGGTACTAAAATGTCTAAAAATGTCAGATGCTGGGTAGCCTCTTGGCTGGCTGAATAAATTATATTTATATTTGCATGATTAGCAAAAGTTTTATATCAAAAGATTTGCTGAATAGCAAAGAGTTTTAAAAAATGTTCACGAGGAAATTACTCAATTAGATTTCCATAAAATCCTCCTCATCCTCTCCTGCAATACAATATTTGAAAGTAAGAATTATTAACTGTTTTATCCTTATGCTATGACATATGAAAATGACAGGAACTAAACACTACACTCTGGATTAACATTTGAATCATCATTGTCAAAGGCCTTATGCATATTGCCAACATCGTCCCTTTATAGTAACTACACAAAAAACTGGTAGTGTAGTGTATACACATAATCAGAACAGAGTTTGTCTACACATACTAAGACAGTGTAATAACAGTGTTATAAATGGATTTTTAACGGCCTGGCAAAAGTGACACTCCATAGTGTGCTAGGATTTTAGACCCAAACCAACCGTTAGGAAGAACACATTAGATTTATTTCTGTGAGATTTAAAAAATATATATTTCTATGACAGATGATTAACAAAGGCAATGATGAGTCTTTAAGTGAAACAAGAATCTTGTTCAAAGATATATTTTGCAAACTCATTTTGCAATATATACTTCTGTGTAAACTTAGTCAAGACATGACCTGTATTTGTAAAGCTTTGAATAAATCTATTAGAGCAGTGATACGCAACCTGAGGCTCTTTTAGGTCCTACTTGGAAAAAAAAAAAATCAAAAGTAATTATTCAAAAAAGGGAAACATTGTCAGCAGAGATGACTCTTTGCCAGTCATGTCACTGTGTTTCCCACATATTTTAGAGGTTTTTGATTGTGGCTATGGCAGAAATATATAAGAGACCTGAGGATGGGACACATGTGTGTGCCTTCGTGAAAAATCTGCAAAGGAGATTTTGGTAACACTTAATAATAACCATCATCAATAAAGGGTAAATATATAGTTAATTAATCATTAGTTAATAGTTATTTTACTGTTAACAAACAATCAAATGATAGTTAATATTGATTGATAATGATTTGTAATGCTATAATTTATGTTATGTTAACAGTTTATTGTTAACCGTCTATTATTGTTTGGTCCCAGTTGGAACTGAAGATTTAATACCTTATTAATACTTTTTAAAGCATCTATAAACATTTTTAGATAGATAATTAATACTTTACAAGTGGTTAATAATTGGTTTGTAAACTTTCTACAATCATTATCTGGATGGTTATAGTAAAGTTATAACTGATGTTAATAATACTTTTCAAATGGTTCATAAATAATGTGTAGAGCATCTTTAAACATTATTTGTGTAGTCATATTAAAGTTGGAGCAAGATATTATAATTGTCAGTTCAAACTTTATAATAGCCATCCAAATAATGTAATAAAAGCTTAATAAAATATAACTACTAACTAAGTGTAACAAATATCTGGTTCGTATGTACAGTATGTAATGTTTATGTTTTATAAACAATCTCTTTGGTAATCCTTAACAAACACTTTATAAAGTGTACAAAATGTTATAATGTGTGCATCAGTAAACTGTTAACAGAACAGAAGAATTAATAAACATTATAAACGATCATTTCATTGTTTGTTAACAGTAAAATAACTATTAAATAAAGTTTAATTCAATATCAATCTGCCCTTTATTGATGATGGTTTTCTGCCCGTCTAGTAACTTATTGTCAAATTGTCTTTTTTTCTTATGAAGGTTCATAACTGAGTGAAATGACCCGGAAGCATTTAAGTGATAAGAGCCGTTTGAATTCTCTAAAAGCAAAGGAAAGGTGGGTCAATGCTTCCTTTATAACCTCCTTTAGGATACACTGGACCATCCTTACCAAAGGAGATGAGATATGCCGTCCCACAATTCCTTGCAGCCGCTACATTTAAAGCGAGTCGCGCATCCGACCGTTCACGAGAATTAACGATGATCGTAAAGTGACACAGATCATGTAAGAGATAAAAGATAAGAGACATTTTAAACCAGATGATGTTTTATTCAACATATTTCATTCACTTAAGAATGATTTGTGCAGTTGTAGATTTGTATGTTTAAAACATTATGTGTAGGTTATATCTTATATAAATGTAACAATGAATTTCATACAATCATATTTATGTTGATGTTGATTTCTGATTGGACAGGAAGGTGATGGTTTCACTTTTCTTACTTGTAGCCTGGTGGTCTATATTTCTTTTATTTCAAATGTGGTCGGATTGTCAGAGCAATGAGATCACCTTTCCCTAAGTCCGTTATGAATTCTCCTAACATCTTTCCTTAACCTCATGACGTTTTCCCCAGGGTTAAGGTAAAGTGGATAGTGAAAGGAGATAGGAGGGACAATTCATTGTTGGGTTGTGGTCATTAGGGACCATCTGGTAGGGTAGAGTTTACCCCCCTACATGGTCCCTAAGGGGGTAGACGATATCTGTGTTGTCACAGCCTGGAGCTTGTATGAATATAGTCTTGGTTTATTGAAAGCAGTGATGCTGATTTGGCGGTGCTGGTCACTAAGGGCCTTGTGGTGGGTTATGTAACTTATTATTTGGGCACGAGCAGGGGTAAGAATGTGTGTGTGTGTTTGCTGTGGGTATCATCACTGAGTGTTTATCATTTTCGTTAGGGCACATGTATTTTGTGTTTATTTGTAATTAAATAACTGCAGTCAAAATGTCTGCACCTGCTTCTCTGTATAACATTAACATTTCTTCTTAATTAATATTAATGTTAAAATGTTGTAGAAATAAGGAATGTATTTATTTCCTTTAAATGTTGACATCATGCACAAATAGACACTGATCTCTAAATCAGCTGATTGGGGCATGTACAACAGTTTTCTTTAGGAATGATTCAGTGGACTTAAGCAGTACTCCTGTTTTCCCTTTTCAAATCCAGAGGCTGGACTGAAATACAAAAAGAGCTTAGGTGGGTCATATACAGTATGAAGTCTATAGACTCTATATATGGAAGTTGGTCTAGTAGCTGGAGAGGTGCCAGGCCGCTTCCTGAGTACTGCCGTGGTGCCTTTAAGCAAGCCACCGAACCCACAGACATGTTGACGGTTGAACGGCACATCTGATTCTTTCCTTCTGTGTCAGTTCATTCATCTACCTACCACTGATCCTGTGTTCTGTGATGTTTCTACTTGGCTGCTTTATTGTCTTTTTTCTAGGGCTGGGCACGTTAACGCGTTATTTTCGCGTTAACTCATTAATTAATTATGCCAACAATTATTTTATCTCGCATTAACACTGTTTTTATTATTTATTTTCTTATTGTAAAAGTCTGTTGCTCACTGGCTTTTATTTTGTAAAATTACATCGTGAGCGAGCCTAGTATGTTGCTTACTGCTGCGCATGACTGCATGACTGGAAACAGTGTTGCCAACTTGGCGACTTTCTCGTTAAATCTGCCGACTTTCCAAACCCTCTTGGCGACTTTTTTTGTCAACAGCTACTAGCGACAAATCTAGCAACTTTTTCTGGTGTTATTGGAGACTTTCTTGGTGAAAGAAACTGACGTGAAAGCACGTATTGCTCTGCAGTTACTGTCCTCAACGAGCAGCGGGTGCTGCCATAAGCCCCTCCCCCTTCCAAAAGCACTCACAGGCTGTCAGTGTAGCCTCGCACAGCAGACCCAGCTGCAGTCAGAGAGGAGACCCACACCACTCTGCGTCCAGACTGCAACCAATGCAATAAGCTTTAGTTTTGTATTTATTTGCTTTGATTACATTGTTTAAGTTGAGAAGTACATTTACAATAAAAGTGCGCTATACACTACTTTTGAATTCATTATTGGATTTTGCGTATAACAATACGATTAATCGTGATTAATCACAGGAACTCATGCGATTAACGCAATTGCCCAGCCCTACTTTTTTCCCTTGTTAAAATCAATCTTTTTGTCAGTCCTGACCTTTGGTCCTGTTCCTTTTTATTTGAACTCTTGTCCTGTAGTCTCAGTACATGGGGCGCTATCTAACTACAGTATTAGGCTATAAGCGCCCCACAATAATTTAAGTGTCACCACCACTGTTGCCTCCAGGAACCCTGGGGTGCATTGTGATTTGACTTACGTTCAGCTATGATCAGGGGCGGGTAGAACAGGAAGTATCCCACCAGCTCTGCAGAAAGTTGGTTTAGGAGGCCGCTGGAAATTGTCCCATTAAGAATGATATCTTGGTTCTTAACCAGATAAAGCACAGAGACTGAAGGAGAGCCTGGTTCTTGTAACACGTTCTGGATCTGGGAGACAGACAAAAAAAACATTATTCAAAATTAAAAACAAAATATGAAATGGTATAATATAATGTCTATGGTATGTATAACTGAGACAACTTTTAAGGCCTGTTCAAAGGCCTGTTTTTTGGTGAGTCACCAAAAAAGAGAATATTAATTAGAGATATTAAAAATCCAAGACATAATATTTCATGATGATTTATGATATTCTGATTCCTGTGTAGCCAGCCTTACTGGCATTTTTCTGCCACCCTGGTGGACACCTTGTGTATCGCTTGTGTTTTTTTAAGTTTCATTCACACAAAGAGCAGCCTACAGTGTGCATGAAGGAAAGTTTTCTCCTTCCGTTTAAGCCTTGGAGTTAATGTGTCCGTAAGTCACATTTTCATCTCAAGCTAATAATTTACTTAATACATTTAACTATTAACAGTATCATTTCATAATGATGTATGCATTATATGTGCAGTATATTGACACAAGATTTGTACTGTATTTTCAGTTTTACAGACACAGCCTTTGTCAAACAAAAGAGTTTTATTGGAGTTTTTGTTCGCTCTCTGTCTAGCCTTGCTGTCCTCATGATTGTGTTTCTGATATGAATTGAACATGTGTCTGTCTCTGTTTGCTGAGCTCCAGGTGATGTGTGCATGTACATCCTGCAGTCATAAAAGTACCTCAACAATGAGAGGTATGAGAGGGGGAATTGATTGTGTCTAGTAGGGATGGTAGCATAAGAGTACTCACTGTTTACTTCATTATTGGAGTAATGTTTCACTACTCTCACACCTTCCCATGCATTGTTTTAGGTTTCGATAGGGTGCAGTGCAGCATATGTAGTGTTAAACTTGCACATAATAGAAACACAAGTTTGATGCTTAACCACAAGAGCTAAAGCACAAGGAGAAACCAGCGTAAACAGGACAGCTGGCAGTATCACAAAACACCATTTGCTAGCCCTGTTAGAGCACGTTGTTGTGATGATACCAAAGCCACCATCCAACTCAAATATTGAAATGACTGAAAATACAAAATATAAAGCTGCTACAGTCAACCCATCCCTTTTTATTGCTACCAAACCAGGTTTACTTATCTGACCTTTATTGGGGAAATTAAGAGCAAATTTAGTGTTTCCTGTGTTAATTTGCGAAAAGCACAAACTCTGCAGAAGAAGAACAATGTGGCCTCATTGTAGTTGTAGCACATAATACTTATTTTTTGGGCTTTTTGCCTTTATTGAAGAGGACAGTGGACAGAGAAGGACACTGGGCCCGATACTGTATGTTTGAAATGTTGGCTTGATACATTTAATATGACTAACTTGGCTGTCTGAATTTGCCCTTATATAGCCTCAATCGACTCATGTAGTACCTCAACAGTGAGCCTGTTGTAGGTCTCCAGCACTTTGTCTTGAGCCTCTTCAAAGGCGTTTTCTAGTCTCTGCTCCAAAATTTCAACGAAACTGCAGGAGAAGATGTTATCTGTTGGTCCGACGAACCTTAGCACTAGGGAGAAAGAGAAGGAGTTATATTTTTAATAGATAACACATTTGTATCTGATTGGTGCATGTGAGTGTGTGTTTTGTGCACACATTCTGAAATGTGTGTTTTTTTTAAGAGGCTTAAGGGGCTGACTAAATGAATGGACCAATTTGCCTTTGCTCTGCACTCATGGGAGTTTGTATGGGATTAAGGGTATCAGAGAAGAGTAAAGGAGAACAGACATGTAATCAGAGTTTTCTCATTTTGTCTCTGCTCTACACTTCCCCTGTGTCCTTTCCGATTTTGCACTCTCAATCTCTCTGCTTTCCCTGTGCTCTGATTCACTTCCCTTCTCTAACGTCTCTATCCTTTCACACTACAGCTGAAGACTAAGCATCGTCTGACATGTTTTTGTTTGCTCACTTCATGTAACATTTCATCTAAGGTAATCTTATTTTCCAGCAGGTTTCATCACCTGTTTTCAGCTGCAGGTGAATGCTTGGAGAAGGCACCCATGTTGCCACAGGAACCAGAACTGCCTTTACCAATGGGGTGTGCTGCCTGATGTCCGATAGCAGCTTGTCAAAACCGTAAACATTCAGTGCCTCAACCACAAAGGAGGAAATATAGACAGTTTTACCACTGGTCACATAGTAACCCAAAGTCACATTGTGGGGACTGCAGTCATCATGCTCCACCTGTGGCAGACACACAGAGAAAAGGAAAAAGGGATCCAGTTCACACCTGTTTATATTACTAACATCTGTATTATATCCTTAATACACAGAAATGCCAGTATGTCAAATGTTACTGCATATCAAAGCACATCAGGACAGACATATGTTTTATCATCCTTTTTCTTTCCTTTCCTTTTTTTCGGCAAACTGCCTATTCTTGTTCTCGTTAAATACAAACCCCTCTTGGTGGAGCGATATCTGAAATGCTTCCTAAAAATTCCTCAAAATATGTCAATGAATAGTAAACTAAGAGTTGAATATCATACATTGAATGTGATAAGGGATTTTGTTGACTCCACACCAACCCAGAATGAAGTAATTGAATATTTTTTGAAGCATCTTTTTGGGTACCAGCTCTGGCTGGTTGTGCATATAGTCATATATATGGCTTCTAACTGTAATTGTTTTTGCAAAGACAACAATCCGCTCATGAGTAATTGATTGGAAGCAAAATCTATAGTGTAATCTGAAAAAATAATATCAGGTTTAAAAGTGAGCCTTCATGAAAAGCGAACTCTATTTAAAACAATTTAAAGGAACAATTGAAGAACTTGTGGAGTTCTCTGATAGTTGTACCTGTGCCTGCATTAGCATAAAGACAAAAAAAGTGCCTGATCCAGAAAACTAATGGTCAGTTATATCTCCTCATTTCTCATCTTCTGAAGTGGAAAAACAGTTACTCTGAATCAAAGCATTGGGGATAGGCGGAAGTTTAACTAAAGTTAGTAGAAAGATTACTGATTTTTGAGTTAGTGCAAATTTGATTTATGAGAGAAGAGTTATGTTAAATGTCTTAGAAGATAAAGTTATGTTCACATTCTCTTTTTACAAGAAACAGAATGTTTACAGAATGTTTCAATCCTTCTCTTTATAATTTTTTTAAACAAATTATATTCAAAGTGGTATCATGTTTAACCACAGTTTGATGATGTCAACAGATGATCCCGCCAAATTATTAATTAATTGAAAATCCTGTGTGTGTGTGTGTGTGTGTGTGTGTGTGTGTGTGTGTGTGTGTGTGTGTGTGTGTGTGTGTGTGTGTGTGTGTGTGTGTGTGTGTGTGTGTGTGTGTGGCAGCACATAGATGAAAGTGGACTGGAGCTTAGAGACACTGAGTCACTCCCTCAGGCTCACAAACAACTGGATAAAAATAGAAAAAGCCAGCAGATGAGGACAGAAGACAGACAGTCGGGGGGATTAAGGGAGGCAGGTGGAGAGACAGAGACGCAGGCAGCCATGACATGCAGACCAACAGATAGGTGCGGCAGGCAGGTTGCCAGAATACTATCAACTTTTACCCAAAAAAATAATCAGATTGGGGAAACGGAGTAAAACAGGGCAATACTGATGGATTCACAGGAAGAGGTTCAAATAACGATCATTTCAAATAATAAAAAGGACAGAAGAAGAAGATCAAGGTTTTGTTAGGGGAAAATACAACAAGAGGATGGAAACATCATAAAGACACAAAAACAATCCATAGAAAGCAACACATGACTTGACCTCACTGCTAGGATTCAAGAAAACGGCAAAGAAGGATCTTTTCTAAGATCTTTCTTCTGAGACATTAATGTAAAATATTGTTCTTCGCAAACTGAATCAACGATTCAATGGGTCTAAATGTTGTGTGCATTAGTTATCTCTCTATTCACCATTTACACTGAGGCTGCTATGCAAAGTGCCAAGATGCCCATCAGTAGTAATCCTACATTGACACACATTTGCAAACCCTCTGGTGCATTTTTTTTAGATTTGTCAGTCGTCACTTTTATATGTGGACTGCAGAAGTCCGGTATCAAACCATTAAACTTCTGATTATAGGACAGCCCACTTCACATCACATCCTATTACAGAAACTAGAACAGTGACCTGGCATAGCAAGAAGTGCTTTAAATCGGTTTAAATCCTATTCATCAGATCAATCTCAGTTTGTAAATGATAAGTCTTTCATGCACACCAAAGTTAGCCATGGAGTTCCACAGGGTTTAGTGCTTGTTATCAAGTTATCACATGAAAATATATTGTTCACCCCACCACACACATATTCTGCTGAATATGTTCAATGACTCTTTCAAGAGGAACATTTTGCCACAGTCTTTGAGGGAGGCAAACATTTAAATGACAAAGAAGGTGAAGCACCGGTGGACTGTGCGTCATATAGGCCTCTCTCCTTACCTGTGGACCTAAAACTCCTCTCCAAAATACTAGTGACACGACTGGAAGGCTTACTCCCTTTGGTGCTTTCTCTCGATGCAGCGAAGGTATTTGACCGTGAGGAATTATTGTCATATTTGTTTTGCATATTACATAAATGTACTTTAAAGTTACTTTATAATAACCCTCTTTTTGCATTTTGACCATTAATATGTTTAGTACTTTTTCAGGCTACATAATACATTTCAGCAAATCAGAAGTAATGCCTTTAGGTAGTCTTAAACAGAAACTTCAAACTCTTATCTCCTTTCCATTTCAAGTGGTCCTCAGAGGGCTTTGTCTACTTAGGAATACATACCCATGTTGAACAAATGTATAAAACAACGTTTACACATCTACTTGAACATATGAGGCTAGATTTAGAGAGATGGAATACCCTTCCAGTCTCCTGGTTAGGTTGTGTTGCTCTCTTAAAAATTAACGCCCTCCCTAGGTTAGTCTATCCGATACAAATTGTCCCAGTACTAAACCAGTTACATTTTGCACCAAAGTATGACAAGCTGTCAGAAAATGAGAAGCCAGGTCTTGGCTCTCCTCTGTCTTTACTCCATTATGTGTCAATCCTGATTTTTTTTACCTGGAATAGTAACTATTGTGTTATCCAAAATAAAGGGATTACTAATTTGCAAAAGTTACTGGAATGATCCACCTTGATGTCTTTATATGTGATTTTTCACACTTGTGTAATAGAAATCAAATATATCCTCTGAAAATAACTCTGTGAGTCATGACTGTCTACAATGGGTATAACACCCGAGTCCCACTGTCTGTGATGTTTTCAGAGTTTTCGGAGTCCTATCTTCAGTTTGTTTACATCGCCTGGACGGCCGGCTGACTCCTCCCCTCGTGTATAAAAGGTGTTTAATTGAGGGACTAGAGAAAAGAAGAATAACATACTGTACTCACTGCTTAACTGTGTTTCTAGATCACGCTCATTTCAGGTAAATTTACATGCAGTGTAAAGATACGAGCATAATAAAGATCGCTAGCATTAGCATGCTAACACAACAATGCACCGCAAGTTGTTTTGGTTTCATGCTGGTGCTCAAGGGCGATCAAAAAATCGCATATAAAGCCTTTAAGTAAACTAACTGGAAAATACAGTTGTCAAAAGCTGAATTTTTTCTGGTATTTACAGGTAAGGGATTTTTTCACGAGGTACACCAAAATCCTTAATAGTCAAAGTATTTCAACTCTAAGAGGCGGCTTTTCATAACACAGCTGGCCAGCTCTATTAGCTCCTACTATAATGTGCCTTAAGGATATGAAGCTGCAAAGACTTCTCATCTAAAAGAAACCTGGGAAAGAGAAGTCAATGTTGGGATTGCAGACGATGCCTGGAATGATGCTTAGAAGAATGCAACAGCAATAAGTGTCTGTAATAGAGTGAAAGCAATTCAATCATCTTATTGCACATGGCCCACATATCCCCCTACCAACGGCATACATTTAACTCAGGTATTCTCACCTACTGCCAGTTGTCTTGTAGACAGGAGGAAATCAATAACATGATGTCTATTGGAACAGATGGTGACCCTTATTTGCTTCTTCGTATTTCTAATACTGTCATCAAGTATTATCTTGTCTTTTTTTAAGTGAATCATGTGCCTCTCCCCTGTATGATTTTAAATGTGAATGTGAGCCAAAATATTTAGTTCATATGGTTCTGTCTTGATATCTTAAAAACAAAATCAATATATATATATATATAGAATTGCCTGTTGGTTGAAGGGAGGACGGATTGATCATTTCTGATGCATTCCAGATAGTGGCTCAAGTGTAATATGTTCATCTACAACAGACTGCTAGCTTCACTTTAATGCACACAAATATGTCTTCATTGGAATACTTGTCATGGTCTGTTTTTTTGCTCTCCAAACAAACAGTCATTTTCTTCATACACCAAAGCTGGCTGATATGTGATTAGTCAATACAACTCGGACTACAAACACTTCCCGTGCTAAACCCCAGACTCTGTGTACAGATTCTATATTTATATGTAGAATCTGGTGATAGAGATTAAGTAGCACATGACTATAGCAGCATTTCTATTTATTAGTTTCAGTTTATTAGACCCATCTGCCAGCTAATTTGCATAAAGTAAATGCTGGAACATGAATTGATGGATCCTCTATATGAATTACAGTATTTTGTTACAAGATGCTGCGATAAACTTAGTCACAGTTTTGTATATAAGACACTTACTCATTCACATATGGTTAGATACTTTTTAACTAGTCACTTATCCTTTCTAGCTGACCTGTTTCTACAAGCTGAACCTGTAGGAGAGACAGACCTGTGCATAGGCAGTGGAGTCGTTCAGAGCCCTCTGTATGGCATGGCTCAGCCCTTTAGAGAGGTTCTGTTTCAGGATAAGGTCTAGACGGTTCCCTCGCAGCTCAATTGACAGAACTGTGAAAGAAAAGATTAGAGCTTAGTGACTGTGCACAACATGTTCTTACACAGCGTGTTAATATTGTTGGGACATATCACAGAATAGACTCAGAAATAATGCATCAATATTGATCTACTGTCACTCTTTACTGATCCATCCCAGTAGCACTGGTGGGGATTCAATATCTTTCATAAGAACATTCAAGGACACAGAAGCTTTGACATTGGAACCTGATTAAATTTCTACTTAGTCGCTTTACAAAGCTACTGCCAACCTAAGCCTTAGTCCTCTGGTATCAAACCATTGCTGGTTAATCTATTCAAAACGCTTAAGTCTCCTACATCTTAGTATTATAACTATTAATGCTTTAGGGATAGCTTTACCTTACTTTTGTGTGAGTTTTAATTATGTTGACTGCATGAAACAACATCCAGGAAGCTTCTGGATCTATTACATTTAAATTAAAACATAACTATTACAGAGAAATGGCTGAAGATATATTAATAATTAATTTGGGACATACATTTTTGGACTTGATGCAAAGTATTGTTTTGGTTAGGCTCTGAAGATACAATTACTGTCAGACAGTTCTAGTCTCATACCTGTTTTGACCCAGTATTTCTTGGTCATGTTGCATGGGAGAGGACTTTCCACTGTGCTGGTACTGATTGGAGGTTCTATAGTGGTGGTTGGAGGAGGTATTGTTTGGATCAGGATGACCTCAGTGGTGGCAGGTTCTTCTGTTGTTGTTGTTGTTGTTGTTGTTGTGGTAGTAGTAGTGGTGGTGGCAGTTGTCGTAGTTGTGGGTGGAGTAGTTGTAGTAGTGGTTGTTGGAGCTGTGGTGGTGGTTGGGGGTACAGTAGTTGTGGTGGTTGTTGTAGCAGTTGTAGTTGTAGTAGTTGTAGGCAGTGTTGTGGCTTCTGTGATATGTTCGAGGCTTGTTGTTTGCGGCATGTTTGTAGCAGCAGTGGTATTTGGTGGTACTGTAACAGTGCTCCCAGTGGTCACTGCCCGCATTATCTTATCAGTGGTGGTCACAGTATGAGTGGTCTTTGAGGGTGTCATTGTGGTTACCATTCTCAGCAGAAGACTATCATTGGACACAGTGTTCTGGCTTGAAACTGTGGTAGATCCTGGTGTAGGTTTTGCTTTTACCATGATGGATGACCGTAAAGTTGAGGTGGTACTGGGTGAAAGCGATGTGTTTATGGTCACGGTCGATGTGGTCGTGAGCCGTGAGCTGTTTCTGGTGCGAGTGGGCACAGTGGTGTTCCATTTGTGGGTGGAAAAGGGACTGGTGACATTGGCAGGAAGTGTTACATCGTGGTCACCCACAGTGGACAGTAGCGATTCTGGAACAGTGGGGAGATCCCATGCTGGCAGGCTACTAACTGACTCATCTGCAGGGAAGAAAAAATAGTAATGTGTCATTTTTAGAATGTGTTGTGGTGTTGGATAGTTTTTAAAAAAAAATATGAATCCTGTGATATATAAAGACAAACAAAACTAGATCCCGGGAAGAGGAATTGTATATGTCTTAACTGACTGTGGCTTAGACCTCCATGATTGTCCAAAAATATCAAAAACACAAACATGAGCCACACCCTTCTACTGGAGGACTAGAAACAAACTAAAATATTTTTAATTATGTCAAAACACACCATCCTGCTATATGTATGGCATATATGCATTTATTATATCTATGCATTGCACAAAATGTAAAGCATTGCTTCCTAATTCAACTTGATGAACATGAAAGCAAACAAAAGTACAGTTATTTAACTTTAACACACAGTTGTTAATTAGTAATAGGAATGCATGAATAATTTGCCTGAAAGGCATAAAGAGATCCAGATGACATGATAACATTTTGTCATTGTGGATTTATGTGTACCACCATTCGCCAATGGACTACAGTTGGAAATTAGGCTAAGGCTACAATCTGGCATATTTATATGTTTATGTTCATTAATGTGCACCCTACTTTAAATAAATAAATAACCAATGTTTCATCATGTGAGAACAACAACTGCCAGACAGTTACCATGGGTCAACAGTTGTTCTTAATAACATTCAACAATAACAGATTGTTCCAAACTCATACCAAAACTAGTGCTGATGTTGCTGGTCGAGGAGTTGCTGTTGGCAAAAACCAGAGAGACATTGATTGGAGTTGCTGTTTGACTTTCTCTGTAACTGCTTAGAGTGGATGGAGAGGAGGAGGAGGAAGGCAAATAGGAAACTTTGGTTGTAGAGGAGGTGGAGGTCTTGGATGATGAAGAGGAGCTTTTTCTCCAAGCAGCTTTAGACAGCAGTCCTAAAGGTATTCCTAATTCTGGTTTCTGGAGCACCTCTGTCGCTGGATGTGTGGTGGGGACTGATGAGAAAGCTACCTGCTCTTTTTGACTTTCTCTGTGTGTCTGCAGACTCTGCTGCCCAAACCAGGCAGCCTGGTCACCCCCCTCCTTTTCCCTAAGTCTCTTTTTAGCCGTGTCTTCAGCCAAGACACCAGTCTCCATTGCAGAGCTTTTCCCACCTGCCTCATCCTGCACTCTTGCTTCTGTTTCAGTAATAACCATTGTTTTGTTCTCAGCAAGAATTTGACCCGCAGGCAAAGCGGGTAAAGCTCCAGGATCATCAGTCACATTCATCACTTCTTTGTCTTTATCCCTCGGTCTCGCTCTGTTCCCCATGCTGGCGGAGAGGTTAGAATGTTTCATCGAGCCATGGTGACCACCTTCAGCTGTAAGATGCATGAGGGAGAGGAAGATGGGGGGGGGGGCAGGTGAATAAAAGAAGAAACAGAAGAAGAGTTTAAACAGAAATGTGGGCCACAAAAAATATTTTCAAAGTAAGTGTTCCAGGATATTTATAGGAACATCTGAATGAGCATTTGTAAGGGGATTGTATGCTGGTTAATAACCCAAGTTCCAGCTGATTTACCGCAGTTTTTTGGCAACCACAATATCACAATATGATACAAACTCTTTAAGTCTGTTGGAAATGCATATCCATTTTTCTTTTAATTTCCCCACTCCTCAAAAAACTTACCTGAAGGGTTTTAAATACCCATTACATTTTATGTAAACTCCAACAAAAACTTCATTTTTGCCCTTTTATTGTGCCTCTGAACAAACAGAGCACAAACAGGACATTGTATGAATATTTTGATGGCAGATTGAAGTGTGTATTTCACTTAAGCATTCTTACATCATCAGAAAAGATCAGTGTCTTTGTGTACATCTCGCATGAGGCACAAAAGTGTACCCCGTAAATGGAGCACACAGATAGGAGCTATGTTAACTGAACTATGAAAGGTATGCTGTTAACATCTATTGACTTATTTTCTCTGCTGAAATCCTTTGTATCAATATCTGGGGGCTCAGTTGTCCCTGTCATTATAATTAAGTTATAAGACATTTTATAAATCCAACTCTATGTTGCATGAGAGCGTGTAAGTGTTTGTTTTGTTGCTGTATTAGACAGACTGTGCATTGAAGAACGCGAAGATGATAGAATGCTTTTATTGCCATGAGCAGCTCAAGTAGGATTTTCTCAAAGGTGTACCAGAGATCTAAGAGGTAGCAGCGAGCATTTCCTTGTTTTATGACATCACCAGATTAACCTCATGTCAAAAGGAGTTAGTTTAATTCAATTATCAATTTTCATTGGATAGGTCAAATCAAATAAAAATAATCCTCCATCGAAGGAGAGATGCACAGCCCTGGAATAATATCAAAAAGGGCCTGGCACTATAGTCTTTTTTTAAGTGAACTCTCATTTCACCATGCAGGGAGTTTGCAGGCTTGCAAGGAATTGCATGTTTGTCGCACACTTCCTTTGACTCTGACCAGGATTGGTTAATTAAAGTTATGTGATCTAGAGAAGCTTTACAGAACTAATGTTATGCTTAGCAGCTGTATGTTGTCTGGACAACTATTGTAAAGAATTCCATGCACCTCACTCTTAAGAACCACTACTGAGAGAGAGAGAGATCATTTATACCTCCACTTCATAAGGGTCTACATTGTGTGTTAGTGCCCACATTTAGAGCTCTGTTATCAATTAGAGCATGGACCAAAAGGGAAAACCAGAAATGGCAGGGCAGATTCATGGACACTAACTCAAATGTCTGATTTATTTTGCAGCAATTAATCTCATCCTAAAACGCTAGAGCTTTCAATGTAATGTCTTTGCTGGCTCACAGCAGATGTTGGTGTAAAATGAAACAAATGTAGCTTGAATAGTAGATGGTTGGATGGATAAAAGCAGTTTTTTTATGTTTTTACCTCCAACAGCTAGCCACCTGTTTTGACTGGAAGCAACATATGTGACTATCACCAGACCTCCTACAAAACACTAGGAAAGAAGAACCTCCACTGAGAACAAATATGGACAGGACCGAATGGATGGATGGTCACAGGATTAAGAAGGAGTACATCTGATAGTAGGAATGACTGCATTTATTTTTTGCACAAAACACATTTGTGCCTTTTTCTGTGAGCACAATCATCGTTTTGCAGATTTTGAAAAACCAGTGGAAATAGTGCCAAAGGGTAAATGGCCATGCACATGATTCTTTCAGTGTCATGTTGTTTATTGGATCCCTTTTCAGCTGGTATTATTTGTCCACTAATGTCTCCTAAATCTATGTAAATTCCAGCACAACCTTGCAATGCCAGGACACCACAAGCTCAGATGCCAAAAAAATAATAATAATTTAAGGGCCCATATTATGCTTTTTCTGGTTTTATATGCTCTTTAGTGTGTTTTCCAAGTGTCCTGTGCATGTTTAGACACATCTATGTGCAAAATTAAAAGTCTGAGGAAACGCGGCTTCTCCTACATTCTCCTGTTAGCTGCAGCATTAGCTGCACGTAACGCTCGGTTCTAGCCCCCTTGAAAAAAATTGCCAGTGTGACGTCTTGTCAGTGTTATATCACTGAGCTAAGCTCATTGGCTCGTTGTGGCAAGCCCAGCAGCCATGTTGCACGCCCGTTAACTTCTGTAGCACGCCCACGATATGCCGTAGCCTGCGGTAGCACAGTAGTGCTAAGGTGCTAATGTTTTTGCTCCCCTCAGAGCCAAAGTGGCTGCATTCCCAATATGGTAAAAGGGGCGTGACATTTCCAAGAACCGTGCTGAGCGTTTTCAAACCTATTGTGAACATACTTTAGTAGGTACATAGATTAACTATACGAACCCCAAAAAGGGCATAATATGAGCTCTTCAAGGCTGCAAATGTTGCTCCGTTTAAATTCATGTTGTATCTACTTCTCAAGGTTTAGCATTCATATTGTAAATGGTAGATGGACTTGAGCTTGTACTGAACTTTTTTGGCTTCTGAGTATTCAACATTCTTATATGGCACAACTACCCATTCAAATCAGGTATGTAAAGTGGCATCACTATTACAGTAGCTAATCCATTCATATATATACGACGTCAATGAAGCAGCGGGAGCAACAGGATAAGTGTCTTGCCCGAGAACACATCGGACACGTGGTTGCAGGAGCTCGGGATCGAAGCCCCAACCTTCCAGCTATGGGCAATTTAGATTCACCCATCAACTAAAATAAATTGTTTTAACATACTAACACAAAAAGGAAAAATAGTACCTTTCAAATATGATATAACATATATATTATCAATGACATGGCATTTATGTCTCATTTAGAATGCTTACGAGAAACAACTTTCTTAAATTGACTCATGCAGCACATTGTGTAAATAAAGATTGAGCAAATGTTCAGTCAGGAAGACGATGCTAGTTCAAATGCTTATGTCTCATATTAATCAGCATACAATGTTCTTATTCACAAAGACAAGATGAATCACAAATAACATCACAGCTGGGTCAATATGTATTTGCCTCTCAGTGTAATATTTATTTTTGTGTTGAACAAGACAAGTTCAAAAGCATAAAAAAGTAGACTTTGGGATACTCTCAAGTTAAACGAGGGTTTGACAGCTGAATGACCTTGAAAACACACAGGGAAAAGGAAAGAGAAAAAAAGCACCAATGGCTTATCAAATGTTAATCCCCAGAGCAGCGGATTTAAGTAGATGCCCACATAAATTTAACAGCTACAGCTTTCAATATTATGATGTGAATGTAAACATCGAAGCAAAAAAAGAATGCAATCAAAAGTCAAGATGGGAAAATTGATGCAGAAATCTTTTTGAAGAATCAGTAATTCACCAGCTCTGTTTAGCTTGAAAGCAGAGCTACTTCCACTGCTGTATTACCATAGCAACTGCAGGGATGCTGTCACCATGGTAACGATAAATATGGATGAAAATAACAGTCATTCTGAACTCGATTGATGTCTCTTCTGTCTGTTGTGTGTCACGCTATAACAACAAACAGCATTCATGGTACTATGATATGTTCCTGGCCGTGCACCTGGAATCGTCTTTACTGCCGAGTGTGCTGCTTTTTTGATGTTTATGTTGGAAACAGTGAACATGGATTTTTGGTCTTTAGCGAATACGAATACATATGAGGCTATAAAAGCTGTGAAAACAGTTCAGGGATAGATGATAAATGTCTAATAGATGTCTATATTAAATTATATTAACAGTTGAAAATGGAGAAATATTTTGTTCATTCAAAGAGGGACACAAGGGGAACAACCCGTCTGCTTTCATTTGAGATTATCTAATAGAAAAACACATTCAAATGTTACACTGCGGCAAAAAAGGACTTACATTATGAAGAAGGGCGAGGATTAATATGTATAAAACTGATGAGATTAGTTGTCAGCTGTTAATTCTATTAAGACCTCAGGCTGGCCTTCTGTTTGAAGTGAGAGGCCGATGGGCTCAGACGCTTTGCCCCTATTGACTGACCTAAATCAAAATACCTCTTGAAATTACTCTTTTCCACATACATTTGGAAATACAAACTTTCATAACTACAATTCAAATATATTAAAATATGTTGTGGACGGATGACTTATCAAACTATCAACCCAAAACTATTGCATGTTTTTAAATTATGTATTTTCTTTATCATCCCATCATGTGGTCATACGAACTCAGAGTAGTTTCTCAACCTTGAAAAAGATTGACTCTGTGCTTGCAGCAACAAACCTCAAATGGCACAAAGGACTTTAATTTAAACAGGCACATAGCTGTTGTGTAAAGGACAGGAATCTAATGAAAGTGAGTTTTGTTTTTGTGTGAATAATGCAGAACATTCTTAAGACTGTGAGCTCTTGGTAAGTGCCTTGATCTAGATCACAAGAAAAAAGGTTTTGTCTGACCTTGAGGCACATTACTGTAAATACTCCATTGCTTTTGAGGGATCCATACCTGCTTGTTTGCAGAAGCCATCAGACATGGTTTGGGATAAAATATACTTGTGCTCACTAAAGACGTCCCAACAAAAAGTGAATATATTTTGTGTTAGAATAGAATCTACATGCACAAATTTAAATATGGAAACATCTTCACCTTTCTGTGAGACGAGTTGCCCTGGACTATTTTCTTGGCACTCTTAAAAGCACTACAAGTTCCTATGCATGCAGCACACCGTTATGCCAAGACCACATCAAAAGGTCAGCATGTCCGAGAGGAATACAACTGAAATGAACCTTCACTTTTTCAAAGATTTTAAAATAGGGTATGCTTTGGTTTTCCTTGCTGATAAGACAGAAAGTGTCCTGGACACCATATCATTTCACTGTGTTCTGTTGAGTGGCATTGGCATCAGCTGTGGCTGCTGCACTAAACGTAAAC